ACGATGCCGTTGTCCTCCCTCATGGCGCGTGTGCTGTAGTTGGTGTGGCAGCCGGCGCCGTTCCAGTCGCCTGGGATCGGCTTGGGGTCCATGCTGATCACGATGCCGAAGTCCTCGGCGGTGCGGTGGAGCAGGAAGCGGCCCACCCAGAGGTCGTCGCCCATCTGGATGCCCTCGCAGGGGCCCACCTGGAACTCCCACTGAGAACGCGGACGGGCGGCCGTCAGTGACTGACGCTGAGGAAGCTCACGGGGGACGAAGCTCGCGCTTGGCTTAGGGAATCACATGGATGTAACAGCTCCCTGATCCTGTGACCTACACGTGACCCGCTGACATGTACTCGGGACGTGCTCATCTGACCCACTTTTCATGACAGCGCTCGTTTTGACCCCAGTTCGAGCTGCCCCGCCTGACCACTCGCTGACCCGCGGCTGACCTCGGACAGATCAGTGACGGATTTTGTTTGACTGAAGTCACCCCATGTGGGCCAGACTGACCTGAGGCTAAAGTCTGTGGGTCATCTATGGTTGACCTATTGGGGTGTGAACCCTCACCACACCTGACTTGGGAGGGTATCACCTCCGACTTCAACCTACTTAGCCAGTCATGACCTCAGATTGTACTTAACATAAGGAAGAAAGAACCTCAGGTCCTGTTTTTCGGCATTGAGTTGAAAGTTATCATGTTGAGTCAACGACCTGTAATATGCCGGAGGTACTGGTCAAACGACTTGGTAGTGTTAAACAGCGGAGAGGGCACGACCTCTGACCTTGACCGACCTGGGAGGGCATGACCTCGGCGTTGGTGCCGGCGATCATGACGCCGGAGTAGAGGCAGGCGCGGTAGTGGCTCTCCACCACGTCCCGGCCGTACACCTTGGAGGCGCCGACTCCGCAGTAGTACGGTCCCTGACGGCGGGACCGGTGTCAACTGACGACCGGAGATCGACAGGTGGCGTGTCGATCCCCGCACGTGGATGTTTTGGCATGCTTTGCGGTGAAAAGGATGGAAATTGCTATGTTGGTGTAGCTTCACACCTTTCGTGTGGTGATTGGTGACCATGTGGTTGAAAACTTCTGATATTGGTAGCAATTATTTCCACCTTTTTTGAACACTGGCTATGGTTAATGGGGAAGCGGGTTTTGTGTCGGCTTCCGCATCACTACATTTGGTATTGGCAGAAATGGAAAGCATGCTACTATGTAACAGTAAATGGTGCAGATAACCACCAATAATTGCTCTTTTGGCTTAGCATTACAACATTCTTAGTTTGCAATGTAAGAAACTTATAAGATAGTAATGTGTGATATTTCAGCTAAAGGCATATGTCGAAACCGCTATCGTCCAATAAATGATCATTCTAACTGAAATTGGTTGATTACGTCATTCTGTCTTCACAAAGGCTTGTGGCTGAAATGTCAATACCTCGCAATTTTGTAACTTTTAAGCCACCTATTCATGTGAAACAAGGCGATCCAACTATAACCATGCCTTGGCGGTGGCGGTGGGTTATGCCTCTCACCACCAGTTGATCTCTCCTTGGGCCGACGCTGTCGCAGGATGTCCCTGGCTGGGGGCCAGAAACGCGTGGACTAACACCGGTTAAAATGTCACCGCACAGATCGACTTACGCCGCTACTGGCGGTGAGATCAGCCACTTGGTTGCATGAGTGAGAGAAACGCACTGCGCCAGACGCAACACACCCGGTCGCTACTGCACGCGCCACTGACGGTAGAGCGACAAGTGACGTCATATTTCGGGCCTCTTTCGGCGGCGCCCACCTTCCAAAACATGTGCCCTTGAAGCTGGAGGTCGCATAGCAGTGCCGAAAATACAGCTGTTTTTGCCACATTCTCATAACGCATTCTTTGAATTACAGGTATTCCCGGCGTGCCGCTATTGCTTAATGCATGTGATTTGCAAAGTGAGGCAGTCCTACGTAGTAGCTGCTTATCAGGGAGCATGCGCTTCATTGAAATGATAGGCAGCTGGGTAACAGTGTTTATGTAAACAGTCCGACTCTAAACACATGCCGCTATGTAATGAATGCCATCAGTTAAAGGTTGTCACAGCCACTACTTCCAACATTCGTTTACCTATCGTTTGGTGCTGTGCGTTTTAGTTTGAGATACCTGCGGTCGATCATGACAGTAGACCAATATTTGGCGTTATGCGAATGACGACGGTAGCAGGGGTGTGGCTTCTCATTCAGCTGATGGGGCTCCAGCACACCAACCTGGGCTCCAGTTCCCCAACTTTGGAAGGAAAGTGGATCAAACCCGGACAGAAATCCCGTTTTGGACATGTTTTGGGGTTACGTTGCACCCTTTATCACTTCTCAGTTCCTTCAACTTGCTTTGCAAAACTATGCCCATGAATGGCAGAAAACAATTTCCGACATCATAATTAACGTCGTGTACTTAATGCAGATCACGAGTACAAGCTTACCACAGCTATTGTTTCCAATATCGGTATGCCCGTCTTGTGGCGGTGTTTGTTAAAAAAGGTAGTTTTAAATGCATCTATATATATATATATATATATATATATATATATATATATATATATATATATATATACATATAGATATTTATATACATATACATATATATCTTTATATACATATATATTTATATACATATACACATATACACATATATATATATATATGTATATGGATATATTTAAATATATCAAAGTGGGTAGATATCTCTAACTGTAGAAACGTATCGGAAACTGTCTCAATGAGTAGCTGAATAGTACAAAAACATTGAACTATGAACAGAAAATGGCGGATAAAAGATAGCATGCCGATTTCGCTCGGGTGATGCGAAAACTGAAACCATTGCACAAGTAATTATTTGCTCCACACAAATCCGTAACGTATCACGTAACCCAAGACTCTAACAACGTGCATTCAGACCCAAGCGGCGCCAGCAAGTCACGGGAGGGTTTAAGGATGAGCATGGTGTCGAGGACAACCCATGGGCTCAACAGGGAAGCCCACCTTCGTGTATGTGCAGAGTCCATCTATACGCCACAGCGAAGGCAAGGTGTGGTCATAAAATAATATAAATCACTCATTGCCGGAAAATCGCATAGCACAAAGATGCGCCGTTTGTCATCACTGACTCTTTACTTGACAATAGTAGCGTCATGGCCAGATGCACACATGGCGTGGTAGACAACATTGATGTGACACAGGCGGTGTGTCTGGTGTCATTCGATATTTCCGGGTAAACTACGCCTTCCATGTTTTGCCGGCCTTTCGTGCGACCTTGATAAAAGATGTATTGTAAGGAGCCTAAAGATGTTCGGCGGGCCTTAGAGTCTGAGTCCTCTGTGATTTTTAACAACACACACCCTCACAACACATACACACACACACACACACACACACACACACCACACACACACACACACACACACACACACACACACACACACACACACACACACACACACACACACACACACACACACACACACACACACACACACACACACACACACACACACACACACACACACACACACACACACACACACACACACACACACACACACACACACACACACACACACACACACCACACACACACACACACACACACACACACACACACACACACACACACACACACACACACACACACACACACACACACACACACACACACACACACACACACACACACACACCACACACACACCTGTATATATGTATATATATATATATATATATATATATATATATATATGTGGGTGTGTGTGTGTGGGTGGGTGGGTGGGTGTGTGGGTGTGTTTGGAGCAGAATGAAAACCGCGGGAGTTTACAAGCCGCTCAGGGAATTTGCGTACCACCTAATAAGCAAAATAGTTTGTAAAGTCTCCAGGGAATTTGCAAACTCACTAGGGAGCTTGCAAATTCTCTTGGTAATTCGCGAATCGTCTCGATGATTTGCTTGAGGCCATCATTGGTGCATGGATGGTTTGATGTTGCAGTATCTCGCATCTGAGTCGGGTACAAATCAGCTGAGCCTTCGAACGCCGCCATCGAATCAGTTCACATTAGACCCCACAAGAATCCTTGACCCCTGAAAATATCCATCTTGGTAATCGCACAACCCCAAGACACAAGCCCAAGGATTGGGACGTAAGATGGACTTAATGCATTGTGCGCAACCCTTCTGCCATCTGGAGGCTTACGTGAAGATCAAGCGCGCTGTCAATCTGATGGAAGTATTTAAAAACACAGCAAGCATAAATACTGCGCTTGGCCCACCATCATGGGACACAGCTGTGAATGGAACGATTGCAAACATGAAAGAAACTGTAATATTTTGAGCGAAGCCTCTCCTTGCTGATGTGAGTCACCATGGCTCGCGGATTATGAATTGGGAACAGGTTTGTGGGTGCAGTAGCCGATGATTAGCTGCGTACGTTTAAGGACACAGCGCGTGGGCCAAGATTTACGCGGCTGTTTGGGTTTGCAAACCATGGTGAAGGCAGTATATCCGGATCTAACCGGTTTGAAGAAGACTTGCTGACCTTTCCCGTCACCACAGAGCTGTGGAATGTCGCCGGGCACTGGTCCTTGAGGTGGACACAGTGTGTTATTGACTGTTCGTGGCAGCAGCCTGTTACATAATGTTTGGCACGCGGTGAGCACTACAAGATACCTCTTTTCTTTTGTTACACTCATCGTCATGTTTGGCAGAATTCTTAAGCACAGTGTCGGGCTCCTCTCGTTTTCCCCTCTTTTTCACTTTGGAACTGTAGTTGCTAGGACGGCGTATAACGGAGATTAAATCAAGGTTATGTAAAATAATAGCATTACATGACACGTCTGGCTTTTCCAAGCAATGCAGAATTATAACAACCACCGACTTTATTTACATGTGGCCAGGTGTGAAAAGCGGAGCTTTGCTTCAGAGCCTCTGCGTCCATCTATCAAGTCCCAGAAGCTTCATTTGACACAGACCGTCTGTCGTCCCGGCGAGTGGCATAATGTGGTCCCTTTGAAACGTCCGTCGTCCCGGCGAGTGACATAATGTGGTCCCTTTGAAACGTCCGTCGTCCCGGCGAGTGACATAATGTGGTCCCTTTGAAACGTTTGTCGTCCCGGCGAGTGACATAATGTGGTCCCTTTGAAACGTCCGTCGTCCTGGCGAGTGACATAATGTGGTCCCTTTGAAACGTCCGTCGTCCCGGCGAGTGACATAATGTGGTCCCTTCGAAACGTTTGTCGTCCCGGCGAGTGACATAATGTGGTCCCTTTGAAATGTCCGTCGTCCCGGCGAGTGACATAATGTGGTCCCTTCGAAACGTCTGTCGTGCCGGCGAGTGACACAATGTGGTCCCTTTGAAACGTCCGTCGTCCCGGAGAGTGACATAATGTGGTCCCTTCGAAACGTCTGTCGTGCCGGCGAGTGACATAATGTGGTCCCTTCGAAACGTCCGTCGTCCCGGCGAGTAACATAATATGGTCCCTTCAAAACGTCTGTCGTCCCGGCGAGTGACATAATGTGGTCCCTTCAAAACGTCCGTCGTCCCGGCGAGTGACATAATGTGGTCCCTTCGAAATGTCCGTCGTCCCGGCGAGTGACATAATGTGGTCCCTTCGAAATGTCCGTCGTCCCGGCGAGTGACATAATGTGGTCTCTTCGAAATGTCCGTCGTCCCGGCGAGTGACATAATGTGGTCCCTTCGAAACGTCCGTCGTCCCGGCGAGTGACATAATGTGGTCCCTTCGAAACGTCTGTCGTCCCGGCGAGTTACATAATGTGGTCCCTTCGAAACGTCCGTCGTCCCGGCGAGTTACATAATGCGATCCCTTCACGAGAAAAGCACCTGCCGAACCGGCGAGCGCCATGGTGTGGTCCTTCCTCGACCAAAACAGCTGCCGACTCGGCGAGTGATATGATGTGACACGTCCTTGATGTGCCCCCTGCGACAGAAACATCTTCCTTTTTTATGCTTGCGTGGGCTCATTATGCAATTTTCGGACAGCTCTGTTTCCGTGGAGGTGTGAGTGTGGATCTGTGAAACAATTGTTTTCCCATATTACTAGACCTCTATTCGACTCGCATATAATCCATGAGAGTATGTGTGTTGTTGATGGCTAGCTGGAGGCAGCATGATTCAATAAGTGATGCCGATGAAATCACCTAGCAACTTTTCACGGTTATGGAGCATAGCACGGGAACACATGGCAACATCTCTGAACTAGAAGCCTTACCTGCGGACCGGGGAACCCGTTCTTGGGCCACCCGAACGGATGAAGATCAAGGTCGAGCAGTGTGTACTCCTGCTCCATGCCAAACCAGGGCTTCTGACTCTCCACCTGCTTCATCACCTGCAGACAAAAGTGACGTCATCAGAGCCAGGGTTTTTGATTTGTCACCTCTTCCTTTACTTGTGGAGGTGGTGGAGTCTGCCGTGCGTTGTTGCTGAGGCGGCGGGAGGGCCTTAAACAGAGCTAGATTGCCTCACATAACCTGGTTTTACCTGACGCACTCACCACTGTTCGATAGTTAATATTAACAATTAATATTAATAAATATTAAACTCCACTTTAATTCATATCAAACTCCACTTTGACAAGAGCTTTCCAATGCCGTTTTCTTCGTCGCTCTAGCCTGCTTAATTTCCGTACTCCCGGGGCGCTTGTATCGTGATGTTCCTGGCGTGCGCCTGAGTCCGCCCCTGCTCGCGCCGCCAGTGCTGCTGAATGCTGCCTGCTAGCACGAATCGTACTGACCTGGACGTCCTCTGTCAAAAAAGCCTAAGCGGCCGCTATAGCTTGGCGCAAGTGTGGCGCTATACCTTGGCGCAAGTGTGGCGCAGGTTGGTTTCGTGCGGGGTCTTGTCGTACTTGAAAGTCTCGCACAGCACCAGCTTGTCGTGCTTCCGCCGGAACGGGTCAGGGTAGATCACCTGAATCAAAGGTGCGGTTGTTCAGAGGTCACACTCCGTGTCATGGCGCTAGCGGCATCGCGGCACCGCCTGCGGACGGATGGTTGCCAGACTGCAGCGACCAGTGACGACACTTGTATTAATGCACTTTCGGGATTGCCCGACGAAATTTCAGAACCCACTTTAGCATCTATTCAAGGGCAGTTGGCATATATTCATCTATTTCATAACCATAGATCGTAATAAATACTTCGTTTCTCAAGAAAAATTTTAGTGCATTTCATGGCCTTAACTTACATCCGGGCAAGGTGTCGATAATTTAGCCGAATTTTTATTTTATTTAATATTTAATTATGATTAGCCGATAATTAAGCCGAAGCATTTAGCAGCACTACGCCCATTTAAAACAAACGTATGTCAATATTTTGGCGGCGGTACGAGTGAGCAGGGTACGCCATTCAGAGATCTGGAAGTCAAATAGGAATTTGAATAGCTCGAGAGCGCATGAAAAAGGCATGCTTTAGGCATGTATCTGCCTGAATGGTCAGGTCCCGTTTCAGTGTTTAAGTTGCCCCAGAGTAGACACCGCCACAGCTGACCTCGTCAGGAAGTAACCCACAGAGCGGTAGGTACAGGGACGTAATTTTCTTTTCAGTTGTGGGGCTCAAGCCCTCCTCCTCTTTATCTTTGGGAAGAATGTTGACCAAATCCGGGAGAAACTCTTTTAGTAGCGTTTTTGGGTTAAGCCAAGCAAGTTTTACCTGTTCAGCCTTGCAAAATACGTTGAAGCGCGACACCCTTGCCTGGGAAGATATATAAAAAATGCATCGGGAAAAGTTTGTGTTTAAAAGCTGTAAATAATTCAAAGAGAGCTGATCATGGGTCAGCCTTGTATTCCTGCTATATCTTGTATGCCGAATGATGTTAACGTGTGTTAACATCACACAACAAACATAACGCGTCACGCGTTAACGGCTTTTCGGCCAATACTTGCCAGTCTTATGCTGCCGGACAGCAGGTTGCTGGCGCGACAGAGTGTGCTGGCTCGTATCACAGAAACGGCGCCCGATACGCCGTTCGCCAAAAACAGTCGAATGAAAACTGATCAAGACAGGGTCGGGCTGGCGGGTGGTGACTGTGGTCAAGACAGGGTCGGGCTGGTGGGTGGTGACTGTGGTCAAGACAGTGTCAGGCTGGTGGGTGGTGACTGTGGTCAAGACAGGGTCGGGCTGGTGGGTGGTGACTGTGGTCAAGACAGGGTCGGGCTGGTGGGTGGTGACTGTGGTCAAGACAGGGTTGGGCTGGTGGGTGGTGGCTGTGGTCAAGACAGGGTCGGGCTGGCGGGTGATGGTTGTGGTCAAGACAGGGTCGGACTGGCGGGTGTTGGTTGTGGTCAAGACAGGGTCGGACTGGCGGGTGTTGGCTGTGGTCAAGACAGGGTCGAACTGGCGGGTGATGCCTGTGGTCAAGACAGGGTCGGGCTGGCGGGTGATGGTTGTGGTCAAGACAGGGTCGGACTGGCGGGTGTTGGTTGTGATCAAGACAGGGTCGGACTGGCGGGTGGTGACTGTGGTCAAGACAGGGTCGGGCTGGTGGGTGGTGGCTGTGGTCAAGGCAGGGTCGGGCTGGTGGGTGGTGACTGTGGTCAAGACAGGGTCAGGCTGGCGGGTGATGGCTGTGGTCAGGACAGGGTCGGGCTGACGGGTGATGGCTGTGGTCAAGACAGGGTCGGGCTGGCGGGTGATGACTTTGGTCAAGACAGGGTCGGGCTGGCGGGTGATGGCTGTGGTCAAGACAGGGTCGGACTGGCGGGTGGTCACTGTGGTCAAGACAGGGTCTGGCTGGTGGGTGATGACTGTGGGCAAGACAGGATCGGGCTGGTGGGTGATGGCTGTAGTCAAGACAGGGTCGGGCTGGTGGGTGATGACTGTGGGCAAGACAGGGTCTGGCTGGTGGGTGATGACTGTGGGCAAGACAGGGTCGGGCTGGTGGGTGATGACTGTGGGCAAGACAGGGTCGGGCTGGTGGGTGGTGACTGTGGTTAGGACAGGGTCGGGCTGGTGGGTGGTGACTGTGGTCAAGACAGGGTCAGGCTGGTGGGTGGTGGCTGTGGCCAAGACAGGGTCGGGCTGGTGGGTGGTGACTGTGGCCAAGACAGGGTCGGGCTGGTGGGTGGTGGCTGTGGTCAAGACAGGGTCGGGCTGGTGGGTGGTGACTGTGGCCAAGACAGGGTCGGGCTGGTGGGTGGTGACTGCGGTCAGGACAGGGTCGGGCTGGTGGGTGGTGACTGTGGCCAAGACAGAGTCGGGCTGGTGGGTGGTGGCTGTGGTCAGGACAGGGTCGGGCTGGCGGTGATGGCTGCGCTATGACGTTGCTTGGCACGAAAAAATCCTAAATACCATCTGGCTAAAATTTCCGGTCTATCTGGGACTAATCTGCCAGGGTAAGGCACTTTGGAGCACAGTAAGGTACTTATGCCAAGCAGGGAGATTGGTGTTAAGGCCATCTATACCAAACGTACGATGAAGGCTCTTTAAAACGGATTCGTATTAACGCACCCTATGTTAAAGAATGTATCGGCACACAACCACGCTCTGTCTCCCTCGCAGTCGCGGTGGCCCTTTTCGTCCCAGCTCCGCGACACCGTCACCAGCGCTCGCTCACCTTGGGGTAGAGGTAGACGTCCGAGTTGCTGCCCTCGGCCTGGCCGGTCGAGGAGCCGTCGAAGTTCCAGACGGGCAGCTCGGCCGGGCTGCGCGGCACGAAGTCGAGCGTGCGCGTCTTGGCCCGCAGGTTCTCGCCGCTGCCGTCGATCCAGACGTACATGGCCTTGGTCTTGTCAGCGTCCGGCACGTCAATCGACATGTACTTCTGCAGCGCGCTCTTGTTGGTCGCTACCAGCTGGCCCACGCGTGACATGGCTGCTCCGCTGAGGCCAGGGGGTCACCGTCACACGCCGTCACACATCGTCACACATCGTTACACACCAGTGACATGACACGTTTACGCACGATTGGCTATGACCACTTTCTGGCTGCATCTTTGTCCAAATGTGGACGACCGTAAATTTATGTATTTCATAGGCGGACTGATTTGTGATCATGGGTAGTGTGTGCTTTCCATGAGTGAAAAATTGTTATATATATATATACTTATATATATATAAGTATATATATATATATATACATATATATACATATATATATATATACATATATATATATATATGTATATAAATATATATATATATATATATATATATATATATCATATGATATGAAGCACTGTAATGTCTGCGTCAACACGCTATTAGCAGATGGTTACATCATCAAAGGCCGGTGAGCACGTCGGTCGGTTCAAACATAAAATGTCGCACGTACCGAAAAAGGCGAGAACATGTTTGGTTGTCAGTCGCATGACAACCGTAAATGGCATGTAAAAATTTCGCACACTATCTCACGACAAACTGGGATAATACCAGTGTTAGAGTAAGAGCTAAAGAGACATAAAGACATAAAGACATCAGGCCAATAAAGAGCATCAAGGGCCCATCGAGGTTTGCCTACCCCGGGTTTAGCTTAGCGAGATTGGTTGATCATTTCGAATATCGGGCGCTGTGGCTGTTTAATTACATGACGACCTTGTTTAGTGTTTAACAGCATCGCTGATTGGAGATTGATACTAATCAACGATTAATTTCAAAATCCCGACTTTTAAGCCACATTTGGGTAGCGTGCATATGTTGAGCTCAATGACCTTAACTAAGCAATACATTAAAACATTGAATGGTGGTTGAGACCTACCTAAAATAATTATCGGATAAATGCATACTAAACATAACTAGTTCCTCAGGGTTTAGTTTCCTATTCAATTAGAGATTGTGCGTCCCGACCAGGCGCATGTCATGACTACTAAAAAAACATTCCTTATATCATCAACGCGGTGGACGGTGTTTTTATCTTTTGATCTCTAGCCGCCTGAACATAGTCGTCCTAACGCATCTCGTCTTGGTGTAAGACCATGTGCCAAAAACATTAAGTTAGGCCTCCCGTTTGTGCTGTAAATTCTCGGTTTAACAATACGACAGCATCAGGTTCGTAAAAACTCGTGGAAAGGTACAGCAAACAGGCTGTGGGAAACCGCCGTTTATCACTGTGCGCCTTGAACTTTTCCCCGATAAAAGTTGGCCCATTTTTGACTCAACGGTGACGCTGTGAATTTTTCGCACGATCAAGACCGCATTGGCACTCTAATGGCCATGCACTGGCAAAACAGGATAAAAACGATGGCAGTCCTCAGTGATCCCACATTCGTCAAACCCCGATTCTTACGGAAGAGCCCCTTTGAGGACGAGAACGAGGATGCTGTCAACGCCGCCTTAGAGCGCTACATCGCTACCGCTCTGATATCCTTCTGAGCTGCCCTGGGGCGATTTCACGGGACCGGTCGGGGGAGAGGTAAGTCTAGCAGGATCGCACGAGTCCGTACACGCCACATGTGCCTTGTCGCCCGATCGTGTTTTTTATATTAGTCGATGACCTTTTCCCTGACATGCACACCAGTTTAAGACTGCCGGTAAGTGGCTTCCAACTCGTCCGGCCTGTCGCCCTTGAACTTCATGGCCGCCCCTGATCACAAGAGCCCTTTCCACATTGGCAAGCCATCTTACCGTCACAGATTTCAGGCCGTCCTAAAGCTTGAGATGGGACCCAGCATCGCCTATAAGAGAGGCCGGACGCTCGACCACCAGCGGCGGTTCAGCTGCCGGGCGCCTTGAACCGCCGAGGCCCATCTGGGACACCTTTCGTTACCATTCGACGGATGTGGAATATCTGATGGTCACCACTGTTGTTGTGCGTGTTTTACCATCGAAGTGGTAGTTGTTGTTAACGCCTTGCGGCTTTAGTAGAGCGCCTGGCATTGCCCTGCCATGCCGGCCACCTGGTCCCTCTGGCAGCCCCGCCCGGCTGCCTGGCATTCACTCATGTCTGTCGATGCAGGACAGTATATCTCGTATCTCGACTGCTGTCTAATTCTACCACGTTTACGATTGTGCGAGCTTTCCACTGTTGGGGAAAGTTTTGGTTAACTTCTATCTGGGGCAACCAATGTCTTAAAAAGCTGGCGTACATTGCTGCTCCGCTTCACCTGTGATGTCTGGTGAAAAGCTCCCAGCGTTCGCAGACCGGCCAAATTTATAACGGAGTTGGCAGGACAAAACTCGGAAGAATGACCTCAGTATCCAATGCATCTCATGACACCAATCAATGACAACAACATGAGGCACCTGCTTGATACCATTTGGGACAAAATTAACATGATCTTAATATGGATGCGTTTAGGGGTCTAGCGTCCCGTTAGTCCAGATGACTACGGCACTGGTAGCCTTGCCGAACCGGTTCTTTTCAGCTTGCTTGCTTGCTTAATTGGCTCTCAAGCTTTTAGGATTTTGCCGGTCTGATGCCCACCATGCGTCTAAGGGATGTAGTTCTTCATCCATTTTGGAGGGCTGCAGTCCTGTCCACTCCCAGGCTTGAGAGAGAGGAAGAGTGGTCAAACTCATAAGAGACCTGCTGTTGATGCCTTTTGATGATATTTTTCGCCATTTTTTCCTTTGCAGCCCCCCTTTCCCACACACAGATGCGTACGAACCTATTGCTGGAAAACTGCTCTCTCGAGTCATGCACATCACTGCGTCTCGAGCAAGTCGGCATCTCCCATTGCACCGGGCTGCAGAAAGCAAAAATGTTCGAGCATTTCTTCTTCCAACCAAGCCATTTGCTTACTAACTCTCCGCGGGCGGGGGCAGCAGACGGGTGACGGCGGCGTTGCCGGGCCGGGTATCCGCCGTCGGCCCGGGACGGCTATATGTGTAAACTGGAGCGGTGGCGGACGCCCGGCCCGTCACGAGCTTGCAGGTCGGACGAGTGGGCGGTGAGTCGTGGGTCCCCGGCGGCGGTGATTTTTTAGTTCTCAGATTTAATCGTTCGTTTTGCGCCAGTCCACTGGCCATATCATGCACTGCTTCATGTCCAAAATCGAAAATAAAGAACAATCAGTCTCGGGAACAAGCGGAGGCACCTTCCGAGGATGGCATGAGTGATGCAGGAATACTCAGCCTCTCCAACGCACGCACATTGCATGAAATGCGCTGCATACGTGCAGCGCGCTATACGTGTGTGCATTGCACAACATGTTGACAGCGCGTGTGCGAACACTTTTAAGTGGTTCCGGTCCAGATAACACATCAGCTTGTAGTGTTTTTGTCCGGTACTGCCGCGAATTGTTGCGACGTGCGAAAATGTCATGACACGGCTGCAGCGTGTAAGGTCCACGTTTTGTGATATCCTGTTGGATATCGTGTCATAAAGACATGAACGCTTTTTTGCTCACATCCACCATGGCTGGATTGCAGGCTCGACGTCTTTCGCCGGGATGCCGCACGGCTGATGTGGTGGCAAACTATCCATATGGTGACGAATATCATGTACTGTGTTTAACACTGTACTTGAAACTATTTTCACCCTCTGACCCAGGCAAGGGGTTAGTCATCCTGGCATGGCCAGGTTTGAGCTAGAGCTAGTTGGAGCTAGAGTCACGGATTCTGGTTAAGAACCAGTACAATCACTTAAATCGGTAAAATCTCAGATCCAAGAAGAATTGCGATATTGGATTTAAACTCTTCAGATCAAGTGACGACCCCCATGTCAGCCTGACACTAGTAGAGGTTGGGAATAAACCTCAGGAACATTGTCGGCTTACCGGAGAAAAACATGAAATTTTTTGAAGTAGGTATAGAGCAAAACGCAGCTTGTCACATCTATCGTGAAATTATGAGCTTTGATCTAAGCTTCAACAATATCACCAAGGCCGCTTCCCTCGTTTGAATTTAGAAACCTCAACAGCACAGCATTTATAAATTGACTCGTTGGTTTGTTTACTATCAATACCAACCAGTTTTATACCGGTAACTAGTGGCGCAGACACCTTGGAGACCATGCAGGCCGGCTTCATAATATTTTAGACCTCGTGATGCTTGTGAACATTCCGACATTTTTGCCTGTTGAGCATAGCAATGATATAGCTGTCTGAATGTGTGCGAATCGCTCACCAGCTTTGGTAAAATCTCAAAATAAAGTAAACGGAATCAGAAGAGACACTGTATGTGACGCACGGATAGCATAATTTGTCATTTGTACGAAAATCAGTCTGCAAGTCTCCTGAGATGATGCGAAACTGAATTACCGAAATGGCCGGCGCATTTATTTTATTTATTTTTGCAAAGCGCGCTGATAAATATGTAATCATATGAATTAATAAGCCGAGTAAAGACGCGCAGCTCTGCTGTTCACCGTTTATTTCCGCGGTCCCAGAAACACTGCATGAAGGCAACATCCTCGCCACGCGAGCGTTTATCAGAATGTCAATTAATGGCTGAGCAAATGTACACCAATAAGGACCGCGCCGGTTTTTACTCCGACACATGACGTCACGGCACGTTGACGCGCTGATGCCGTTGGGTCAAGCTCACAATGCGTGCCGAAGATCTGCCGGCGGCGTTTTAAGGAAAGCTTCAAATTTTCCTCCCAAACCAATTCATCTTTTAGCCAAAACTAAACTGGGAATAGCTTTGCTGCCCCAGGCACTTGGCCTATACATTTTGAAGCACTTGTGCAGCAGCGCTGGTGAATGCCTGCTTTGATACGCAATAACTTGCGTGTCTCCGAGAGTATCGCTATCTCCGGGCGTGGACGACCACCCGCTCACCTGTTCGAGTGCGTGCTGTATCTAGGTTACAAGCTCCCCCTCCACACAGGCGGCGGCCGCACCGTCTCCGACTTTATAAGACGACTGATTCTCAGCCGTGAACCCCATTGGTCGTCGCCAGTGACGTCACAGTCCAGAGATGACAGCCAGCAAGCTGCG